CTTAATCACACCTGCCGATACCGAAGCAAATATCGACAAACATTTTCCAAATACTGCGACTTAAAAACAAATATGATGTATCTGGAATTCTTTGTATTGTGTAGGCTTATATCATTTATAGTCATTTTTTATGAATACTTCTTTTATATTCATATAATGAATTAAATGCCATTATTCCAGCTTATAATTGCTTTAGTTCGGCTTTAATTCCACTTACACTCCGTTGGTCGCCATGTTCATAATTTCATCTCGGAAAGAGGGCTAGGGAGTTCATTTGGACAATTTTTTATCCCGTGTACCTATGATCTCGTTTTGTTACCGCCAGCGACATAAGCCTAAAGACAAACAAAGACAAAAGAAAATACAAAAGAAGGCAATGAAGCGACCGACACAATCCTCAGTTTAAGCATGAGCATATAAGCACAGCAGCTGAACATAAGCATGAGGTAGAACAAAAACAAATTGAAAAGAAAATCTCTTTTCTTTTATTTCCTACGAACTCTGGATAAGGGCCGATTACATGGAGCAACTTGGAAGGCAAAGCTCAAAGTACTTTTGCATTTCTTCCACAAAGAAAGAGATATCGTAAGAGAAGAAAATACTAGAAAGGGATTTCAAAAGTTTTAAATTTTTTTTCATTCATAATGTATTTTAAATTATCTAGAAAACACATCATAATTTAAAGTATTTTAAAACAAAAGACGTATATTATAAATTGTGTGACCTTGCCGCCTGTAGTGGACGCTACTTTCCCCCTCTCATTAAGACGGATTTCCACTTGCGAATTTTTTCGAGCGAAGCGATAATTTTCGAAGCGAAAAAGTTCGTAAAATTGGGTCTATGAAAGTGAATTGAATTTCAAAAGAAATCAGTAGGGCACAACTGAATATATGAATATACACCTCCCAGTTAACCTTCTAGTTACGCCTCTGGCTTTGAAATAGCATGTTATGATCGTAAGTGCTGCAACGATAGCCAGAACGCCCAAGAAATTACAAGAGACGGTTTTTCTTACTTCGTTTGACACGTTTTAATAAATTGAGCCGTCAATTAAAAGGAGAATTTCGTCTGCTCGTAAGAGAGCTTAGTATTTACGACGAGGAATATGTTTCCATTAGTATCGTTTGTTTTGTATTTCTTGTAAGAAATTCCTTGGTCAAAATAGTCGGTTTTCTGTAGAGTAGAGTTGTTAGATATTATGGAAAGTCTTTTAAGAGCAACTAACTCCTCAACGTCCGCCATTTTGAAAACTGAATGTGCTTGACAAACATCACAAATCAGAAACACTGAAATCTGATTGGCTAGCGAATTTTTTCTCAGCGAAAAAGTAGAAATCTTTCGAACTCAAATTTCCGTCGTGGCGAACAGCTTATGCGAATTTCATCGCTGTGTATATATGTGACGTGTTGAAGTGGAAATTCGGCTTTAAGCGAAATCTAACATTTTATTTCACGTTCTTTGATATGATGATATGCAATTTAATTGCAGTCGTGTAGCTCAAAGCCCTTTGCATTTCTTTAACCAAGAAAGTTCTAATCATCGAACAAGAAAATACTATTTCCACTCACGAGATTTCAAAAGCTTTGCAGATTGGCTTTCATTTAATATCAAAACATTGTTGACGATATCAATCCTGCTGGGTATAAAAACGAAAACATTTAAATACATTGCGTAACGCAACGCTTTAATAAAATATACAAAGTTTTCACAGTAATTCTTATCAATTTTCTCAAGATGATGTCCGTAAAACATTTCTGTAATAGTGCAAAAGAAAACTATAAGATCTTGAAGCCTGTCTGGGATGTTATAACAAATTATTTGGCAATACTTTTGGTAATATTATCCGTCGTCGTTGCTGGAATGGAAATAACATCTGCCAAAGTTGAGTGTGTGCCAGTTGTTGATTGTCCCAGTGCGGCAAAATCAAGTTTGGATGTATTTATGTCAAATGCACATTTGAAATTTCCCGATGTATGTACGAACTTTTATCGGTCTCAAAAAATAAGCTTTATCGAAAGAACGGAAGTCGTTACAAATCACAAGATCCACTCTGCGTACAAACATTTTGTCAATTCAGAATGCAGCAAAAATGCAATTTCGAACTATTTGGGTAATTTATGGATCGTGTTATTTGTTGAAGCGTTGTGGCTTTTGATTCTTGACAATTTCTGGTTAAAACTTCCTTTAACTTCGTCGGTAATAGAAACATTTGTTCATCTCGTAATGGCGTGTTATAATTCACCATTTCTAAACTTTACAGCTCCTTTTACATTCCTCCAGTCAAATTCCCGTAAAAACCAAGGCTACGTCAACATCCCCATAGATAATCCTGTGGACTTGACTGATCACGATCAATCGTACAATGTTGATTTCCTTCCAGACAATACACCCCCAATTGCGTTTATGGGTTTGTATGACAAAGTGCAAACACTAAAAGATATCATATCAACCTCTCATCCCACTAAAAAAATTTCAAATCTTTATACCATGAAAACTGTTTTTCAATTACTTTCAGTTACAATATTTCTCGCCATTAATATTAATTACTTGAAGGACGTGAAAGACACAATGAGGTGTAAATTAGCTCAGCATATTCCCATCCATCACGAGTACTTCTTATGCTCCAACATCCTAGCTTCCTCTATGTCTAGTATCGTTCATATTTATCTCGGAGTCTTGGCAGTAAGTGGATTTATATATTTTTTAATAATTATTTGGACAGTTAAATTGCGTCTGAAGAAATATGAATATGACTGTTCTGATCAAATGTCTTCAATAACTGTTGGTGAGCTTTCAGATATTTCTCCAGTGGATGGTGACCTCGGATTTCTCTTACATCTCTTGCATTCCTACAACAAAATGTACGTTATAAGGTTCGTGCATTTCCTCTCTAAAGAGAACAAAAAGAAGATTGTGGCTCATGCATTGAGCAAAAAATTTCCTGTTGCAGGTCTGCAAACTACATTGGATGAACAAAAGGCATTATCTTTTACTAGCCTTCCAGGAATTCCGCTTGGAATTTTCGATCACTTAATATGTGAAAGTCTCTTGACACTTAATATCATTAAATGCACTCTTGAAGAGGATGATTTTGAAAATTTTGATAAGCTTATCGGACTGAAAAGCCTATCCATTGTGAACTGTGGCTTGAAGTCCATACCGAGAGGAATTCTTGCTTTGGAATGTCTTGAAAAACTTCGTCTTGATTTAAACCTTATAAATGAGATTAATGTTGATATAGCAACTTTGAAGAATCTGTCAGTCCTCTCACTTAACGATAACGTTCTTCAAAAAATTTCTCCTGGCTCATTGACACAAATGCCAAATCTCAACTCGCTTGATATCGACGACAATGATGATTTAGAAATGGAAGCTCTTCATGAGGTCCTTGCATGTAGAAGCTTACGAAGCTTGGTTTGTCCTTTTCATCTACTGAAAAATGCTGCAAGTTGGCTAAATGAAACAGAACTAGAAAAGCTACAGGCGGTTACCGTGGAGAAATAAGAAGAAAATGGAAAAATTATTTCTCGGGAAAAAATTAAAAATTATTAACTCTTCAAGATTCAGTTAGATTGTCGTTGGTGATATTCTTAAAATTTCCTTTTGTTTCTCATAGGATGTTTGGTTTAAATAAGGTGGTTTTTCTTTTCAAATTGATTTTTTGTATAATCATTTATTCAAAAAAGTATTATTAGTCATACGACTTTTTTTAATAAAAGTTGACATAATTACCGAGAAAATCTTCCCAGTAATTAAAATACAGGTTACGATAAAAAAAATTATATAAAAGAACCAATAAATATAAAGCTAAAGAATGTTAATACAGTTATTAGTATAGGCATAATAGTTGTATGGGTTTTTAAGTGCAAATTGGAAAATTCAAGCACCAGTGAGTAAATTCTTCATAGATAATCGAAGGTGTAACTGTTGAGGTTAAGGATTGCGTCTACGAAGTTAATTTTCTTTTTTAGCTTCAATGCTTAGTTCAATCTGGCTAAAATGGCACCTTATTTCCTTTTATATTCTGCGTTTTTGTTAAATGTTTGTAACTGAATTAGTACTTTTATTTACTATTTTATACTTTCTACTATTAGCCAGTTTCAGAACGGTTGAAAATGCTCATTATAGGACATCAAACACGGTGTTAAATTGCTTTTGTTATCGTTGCTGCCATCTCCGAGCGGAGCACCAAAGGTGCGAGTAGTTCTGAAGAAATCACGGAAGAATCCTCCACATAATTATTTTCAAATTAGGAATCTCTTAAATACCCCCCTTTTAGACTTTAGATATTGAGTAATGTAATATTTTGATTTGCATAAATTTAAGTTCGTCTTTCAAACCAAATTCAAAATTCCACGCCCTATATTATTTTCCATATTCAAATCAACAGCTGGCCAGTGACCATGGCATATTTTCACCACCTACCATCATGCCAATGGATTGGAATACATTTTTGACTTCCTTGCAATCATCATTAGCACGCTTTTAAGAACATGCTTCGACATAACCTTCAGAGAGCATGTATTCGATTCGAATGTTGTACGCTCAGTCGCTTTTCTTATTTCAAACATGCGATCTAACGACATCACCATGTTCCTTCTTTGCACACTTCACTTTTTCTAATTCAAAATTAATTACTAACGAATTTTACATTTCTTGGGCCTAATATTTCGACATATCATATGTGCTCATAACCTAAATCATTTGCTGACAAAAAGATTTAGAGGCAGCAACAACAAATCACCACACACGTTTTATTATTTTTATTTTATAATTCATATTTCTGAATTGTCTTTTCAACGAGTATCGCGATACAAGAAAATATATAATTGATGTATAGCTATATGATTTTATTACAGTGTCTCTGTCACAAATCTTGCTGTTTTAATTAAATGGCAAATGTGAAATAGAATGTGCTTGTCTGGAGAGGAAGTGAATGTAAAATTGCTTAGCAATTACAACTAACAAGTAGAATTTGTGTATTTTAAATAATTATATTCCTGTGAGCAGACAAAATACTGAACGCTAACTTAAAATTTAAAATCCATCCTCATTAATTTTATCAATTTATCAAAATGATATCCATGGAATATTTCAGGAAGATTGAAAAGGAAAGTTTTAAGATTTTGAAATCTAACTTGGATGTTTCGTATGATTATTTAATGATAATTTTGGCAATGATCGCTGTTTTAGTTGGTGGAATGGAGGTAACATCGGGCAGTTTTGAATGTGTTCCAGTTGTCAATTGTCGCAACATAGCAAATAAACAATCGAATGCGTCATGGCCACAAGCAAATTTAAAATTTTCTAGTATTTGCAAAAAATACAACCTGTCTCAAACTACAAGCTTTGCGGAACGAACGGAAGTCGTTACAGATCAAAATTTCAACTGTTTATACAAACGTTTTGTCAATTCAGAACATAGGAAAAGCGTAATTCCAAAATATTTGTCCTATTTGTGGTTAATATTGTTCCTCGAAGCATTGTGGCTATTGATTCTCGACAATTTTTGGTTGAAAATTCCTTTATATTCGTCAGTAATTGAAACATTTGTTGATTTAGTGATGACGTGTTACGATTCACCGTTTCCTAAGTTTGAAGTCACTTATGCACTCTTTCAGTGAAATTATAAGAAAACTCCTGGATATGTGAGCATCCCAAATGATGATACTCCCAACTTGAGCGATGAGTTCTATAATTTAGATTCTCTTCCTGACCGTACAACTACTAGTGCGTTGAAGGGTTTGTATGAGAAAGTACAAACACTAGCACAAAACTTGGCCACATCGCGTCCCAATGTCACAATTTCACGTGTCTATGCTACGAAAAATGTGTTACAAATATTTTTTATAATAACATATCTCGCATTTAATATTTCTTATTTGGAAGATATAAAAGACACAATGACGTGTACACTCACTCAAAGCATTTCCATTCATCACGATAATTTCTTATGCTCTCATGGCCTAGCTCCGGATTTTTCTTTTATTGCATCCTTTTATATTGGGATCTTATTAGTGAGTGGAGTGATAGTGTTTTGGAAATGTTTTAGAACTATTCAATTTTGTCGTAAACAAAATAAGTATGATTTTTCCAAAAACCTACCTCAACAATCTAAAGATCAGCGATCCGATGTAGATCCAATAGGTGGAGATCTTGGTTTTCTTCTTCATTTATTGGATTCTTACAGCCTAATTTACGTTATAATATTTGCTCATTTCCTTTCAAAAGAGAACGAAAAGAAGATCGATGCCCATTCATTAAATATTAAATTTCCTGTTTCAATTCTACAATCAACTGTAGAAAAAGAACAAAAATTATCGTTTAGCACTCTTCCAGGAATTCCTCAGACAATTTTTGATCAATTAGTTTGCGAAAATCTCGTTCACCTCAAATTTAGCAACTGCCGCTTTCATTGCGATGATTTTGAGAACTTTAAAAAGCTTATCTGTCTGAAATATATGTTCATGCTAGAATGTCGCCTAACATCAATTCCGAAAGAAATTTTTGTTTTGGCAGGGCTTGAAGAACTTCATCTTAGTAGAAATCTAATAGAAAAAATTGATGTTGACATTTTAGCTTTAAAGAAGGTGAAAGTCCTTAGGCTTGACAATAACAAACTTCAAACATTTGCACCAAACACATTGACAAAATTGGAAAATCTCGAGTCTCTTGATATCGATGGTAATCATAAATTGGAAATGGACGCTCTTCGTGAGATCCTTGCGTGTGCAACTTTGCGCAACCTGGAATATCCTTTTCATCTTAAAGAAAGAGTAGTAGATGAACTAAATGAAACGGAAAATGAAAAGCTAAACTGTGTTAATTCAAAAAAATTGAACAGAGAAGATTAAGAGGTGGGTGATCCCGAAAGTCCCCAAGATTCAGTTAGATCGTCGTTGGTTATATTCTTAAAACTAGCTTTTGTTTCTCATAGGATGTTTGGTTTAAATACGATGGTTTTTCTTTTAAAATTTCTTCTTTATATGATCATTTATTAAAAAAATATTATTATTCATACAATTTTTTTAATGAAAGTTGACATAATTACCGAAAATATCTTCCCAGTAATTAAAATACAGGTTACCATAAAAACAATTGTATAAAAAAACCCAATAAATATACACCTACAAAGAATGTTAACGCAGTTCTTAGTATATATATAATAGTTGTATGAGTTTTTAAGTATAATTTGGAAAATACATACACGAGTGAGTGAGTTCTTCATAGATAATGAAAGGTGTATCTGTTGAGGTTAAGGGTTGCGTCTACGAAGTTAATTTTCTTTTTTAGCTTCAATGCTTAGTTCAATATGGCTAAAATTGCATCTTATTTCCTTTTATGTTCTTTTAACGTCTTCGAGTAGAGCGTTGGAGATCGATATTCCGTCGTTTTGTTTGCGAATTCCTACGTTTTTGAATGTTTGTAACTGAATTAGTACTTTTATTTACTAATTCATACTTTCTACTATTAGCTAGTTTCAGAACCGTTGAAAATGCTCATTATAGGACATCAAACACAGTGTTAAATTGCTTTTGTCGTCGTTGCTGCTATGTCCGAGCGGAGCACCAAAGGTGCGAGTAGTTCTAAAGAAATCATGGAAGAATCCTCCACATAATTATTTTTAAATTAAGAATCTCTTAAATACCTATTTTTCTAGACTTTAGATATTGAGTAATGTAATAGTTTGAATTGCATAATTTCAAGTACGACTTTCAAACCAAATTCAAAATTCGATGCCCTATATTATTTCCCATATTGAAATCAATATCTGGCAAGTGGCCATGGCATTTTTGCACCCCCTACCATCATGCCAATGGATTTGAATACATTTTTGACTTCCTTGCAACCATCATTAGCTTGTTTTTAAGAACATGCTTCAACATAACCTTCAGAGAGCATGTATTCGATTCGAATGTTGTACGCTCAGTCGCTTTTCTTATTTCAAACATGCGATCGAACGACATCGCCATGTTCCTTCTTTGCACACTTCACTTTTTCTAATTCAAAATTAATTATTAACAAATTTTACATTTCTTTGGCCTAATATTTTGAGATATCCTATGTGCTCATAACCTAAATAATTTGCTGACAAAAAGATTTAGCGGCAGCGACAACAAATCACCACACACGTTTTATTATTTTTATTTTATAATTCAGATTTCTGAATTGTCCTTTCAACGAGCGTCGCTATACAAGAAAATATATAACTGATGTATAGCTGTATGATTTTATTACAGTATCTTTCCAACAAGTCTTGCTGTTTTAATGAAATGGCAAGTGTGAAAATGAATTTGCATGTTGGGAGAGGAAGTGAATTTAAAATTGCTTAGCAACTAACAAATAGAATTTGTGTATTTTAAATAATTATATTCCTGTGAGCAGACAAAATACTGAACGCTAACTTAAAATTTAAAATCCATCCTCATTAATTTTATCAATTTATCACGATGATGTCCATGGAATATTTCAGGAAGAATGGGAAGGAAAATTTTAAGATTTTGAAATCTGTCTGGGAGGTTATAAAAGATTATTTAGTGATACTTTTGGCAATGATAGCTGTTCTAGTTGCTGGAATGGAGGTAACATCCGGCAGTTTTGAATGTGTTCCAGTTGTCAATTGTCGCAACATAGCAAATAACATTTCGAATGCCTCGTGGCCACAAGCAAATTTAAAATTTTCTAGTATTTGCAGAAAATACTACCGGTCTCAGACTACAAGCTTTGCGGAACGAACGGAAGTCGTTACAGATCAAAATATCAACTGTTTATACAAAAGTTTTGTCAATTCAGAATGCAGTAAAAGCGTAATTCCAAACTACCTTGCTTATTTGTGGATCGTGTTGTTCGCTGAAGCATTATTGCTTTTCATTCTCGACAATTTCTGGTTGAAAATTCCTTTAACTTCGTCGGTAATTGAAACATTTGTTGATCTTGTGATGACGTGTTACGATTCACCGTGTCCTAATTTTGAAGTCACTTTTGCATTATTTCAGTCAAATTATAAGAAAACCTCTGGATATGTGAGCATCCCAAATGATGGTACTCCCAACTTAAACGATGAATTCTATAATTTAGATTCCCTTCCTGACAGTACAACTACTAGTGCGTTGAAGGGTTTGTATGAGAAAGTACAAACACTAGCACAAAACTTGGCCATCGCGTCCCAATGTCACAATTTCACGTCTCTCAATCAGAAATGTGCTTTTAGTATTTCTTATAATAATATTTTTCGTCATTAATATTATTCATTGTTTGAAAGATATAAAGACACAATGACGTGTACACTCACTCAAAGCATTTCCATTCCTCACGATTATTTCTTATGCTCTCATGGCCTAGCTCCGGCTTTGTCTTTTATTGTATACATTTATGATGGAATCTTATTAGTGAGTGGAATGATAGTGTTTTGGATAAGTTTTAGGACTATTCAATTGTGTCGTAAACAAAATAATTATGATTTTTCTGAAAATTACCTCAACAATCTTTTGATCAGCTATCCGATATAGATCCAATATGTGGAGATCTTGGATTTCTTCTTCATTTATTGGATTCTTACAACAAAATGTACGTTATAAGGTTTGCTCATTTCCTTTCAAAAGAGAACAGAAAGAAGATCGATGCCCATACATTTAACATTAAATTTCCTATTTCACTTCTACAAGCCACTGTAGAAAAAGAACAAAAATTATCGTTTAGCACTCTTCCAGGAATTCCTCAGACGATTTTTCATCACTTAGTGTGCCAAAATCTCGTCCACCTCACATTTAGCGACTGCCGTTTTCATCCCGATGATTTTGAGAACTTTAACAAGCTTACCTATCTGAAAGATTTGTCCATGCTAGATTGTCACCTGACGTCAATTCCAAAAGGAATTTTTGTTTTGGAATGGCTTGAAAATCTTCATCTTAGTAGAAATCTAATAAAAAAAATTGATGTTGAAATTTCAGCTTTGAAAATGATAAAGTTCCTCACGCTTGACAATAACAAACTTCAAACAATTGCACCAAACTCATTGACACAATTGGAAAATCTCGAATCACTTAATATTGATTTTAATCATGAGTTGGAAATGGACGCTCTCCGTGAGGTCCTTGCATGTAGGAATTTGAGCCACCTGGAATGTCCATTTCATCTTAAAGAAAGAGTAGATGAACTAAATGAAACTGAAAAGGAAAAGCTAAACAATCTCAATCCAAAAAAGACTGGACATAGAAGAGTAAGAGGTGGGTGATCCCGAAAGTCCCCAAGATTCAGTTAGATCGTCGTTGGTGATATTCTTAAAACTAGCTTTTGTTTCTCATATGATGTTTGGTTTAAATACGATGGTTTTTCTTTTAAAATTTCTTCTTTATATGATCATTTATTAAAAAAATATTATTATTCATACAATTTTTTTAATGAAAGTTGACATAATTACCGAAAATATCTTCCCAGTAATTAAAATACAGGTTACCATAAAAACAATTGTATAAAAAAAACCAATAAATATACACCTACAAAGAATGTTAACGCAGTTCTTAGTATATATATAATAGTTGTATGGGTTTTTAAGTATAATTTGGAAAATACATACACGAGTGAGTGAGTTCTTCATAGATAATGAAAGGTGTATCTGTTGAGGTTAAGGGTTGCGTCTACGAAGTTAATTTTCTTTTTTAGCTTCAATGCTTAGTTCAATATGGCTAAAATTGCATCTTATTTCCTTTTATGTTCTTTTAACGTCTTCGAGTAGAGCGTTGGAGATCGATATTCCGTCGTTTTTGTTTGCAAATTCCTACGTTTTTGTTGAATGTTTGTAACTGAATTAGTACTTTTATTTACTAATTCATACTTTCTACCATTAGCTAGTTTCAGAACCGTTGAAAATGCTCATTATAGGACATCAAACACAGTGTTAAATTGCTTTTGTCGTCGTTGCTGCTATGTCCGAGCGGAGCACCAAAGGTGCGAGTAGTTCTAAAGAAATCATGGAAGAATCCTCCACATAATTATTTTTAAATTAAGAATCTCTTAAATACCTATTTTTCTAGACTTTAGATATCGAGTAATGTAATAGTTTGAATTGCATAATTTCAAGTACGACTTTTAAACCAAATGCAAAATTCGATGCCCTATATTATTTCCCATATTGAAATCAATATCTGGCAAGTGGGCATGGCATTTTTGCACCCCCTACCATCATGCCAATGGATTTGAATACATTTTTGACTTCCTTGCAACCATCATTAGCTTGTTTTTAAGAACATGCTTCAACATAACCTTCAGAGAGCATGTATTCGATTCGAATGTTGTACGCTCAGTCGCTTTTCTTATTTCAAACATGTGATCGAACGACATCGCCATGTTCCTTCTTTGCACACTTCACTTTTTCTAATTCAAAATTAATTATTAACAAATTTTACATTTTTTGGGCCTAATATTTCGAGATATCCTATGTGCTCATAACCTAAATAATTTGCTGACAAAAAGATTTAGCGGCAGCGACAACAAATCACCACACACGTTTTATTATTTTTATTTTATAATTCAGGTTTCTGAATTGTCCTTTCAACGAGCGTCGCTATACAAGAAAATATATAACTGATGTATAGCTGTATGATTTTATTACAGTATCTTTCCAACAAGTCTAGCTGTTTTAATGAAATGGCAAGTGTGAAAATGAATTTGCATGTTGGGAGAGGAAGTGAATTTAAAATTGCTTAGCAACTAAAAAATAGAATTTGTGTATTTTAAATAACTATACTCCTGTGAGCAGACAAAACTCTGAACGCTAACTTAAAATTGAAAATCCATCTTCATTAATTTTATCAATTTATCACGATGATGTCCATGGAATATTTCAGGAAGAATGGGAAGGAAAATTTTAAGATTTTGAAGTCTCTCCGGGATGTTATAAAAGATTATTTAGTGATACTTTTGGCAATGATAGCTGTTCTAGTTGCTGGAATGGAGGTAACATCTGGCAGTTTTGAATGTTTTCCTGTTGTTGATTGTCAAAACATAGCAAATAACATTTGAATGCGTCATGGCCACAAACAAAATTAAAATTTTCTTGCATTTGTAAAAAATTCTGCCGGTCACAAAGAACAAGCTAAGTGCAACGAGCAGAGATGGTTACAGATCACAATATCAACTGTTTATACAAAAGTTTTGTCAATTCTGAATGCAGCAAAAATGCAATTCCAAACTTCCTGGCTTATTTGTGGATCATTTTGTTCGTTGAAGCATTGTGGCTTTTTATTCTTGACAATTTCTGGTTGAAAATTCCTTTAACTTCGTCGGCAATTGAAACATTTGTTGATCTTGTGATGGCGTGTTACGATTCACCTTGTCCTAATTTTGAAGTCACTTTTGCACTATTTCAGTCAAATTATAAGAAAACCACTGGATATGTGAGTATCTTAAATGATGATACTCCCAAATTGAGCGATGAACTCTATAATTTAGATTTCCTTCCTGACTGTACAACTACTAGTGCGTTGACGGCTTTGTATGAGAAAGTGCAAACACTAGCACAAAACATGGCAACTTTGCGTCCCAGTGTCACGGTTTCACGTCTCTATATATAATGAAAAATGTGTTACAAATATTTTTTACAATAATATTTCTCGCCATTAATATTTATTATATGAAAGATGTTGAAGACACAATGACGTGTACACTCACTCAAAGCATTTCCATTCCTCACGATTATTTCTTATGCTCTCAATGTCTAGCTCCGGCTTTTTCTTTTTTATATACATTTATGTGGGGATTTCATCATTGAGTGCAGTGTTACTGTCTTTGATAGTTCAATGGACCGTTTAATTGGATCATAAACAATGTAATTATGATTTTTCCAATAAATTACCCAGACATTCTTTTAATCAGCTGTCTGACATAGATCCAGAAGGTGGAGATCTTGGTTTTCTTCTTCATCTATTGGATTCTTACAATAAAATGTACGTTATAAGGTTTGCTCATTTCCTTTCCAAAGAGAACAGAAAGAAGATCGATACCCATTCATTAAACATTAAATTTCCTGTTTCAATTCTTAAAGACACTGTTGAAAAAGACCGGACATTATCGTTTCGCACTCTTCCAGGAATTGCTCAGACGATTTTTGACCAATTAGTGTGCCAAAATCTCGTCCAGCTCACATTTAACAACTGCCGTTTTCATCCTGATTTTTTTGAGAACTTTACCAAGCTTATTTTTTTTTGAAATATTTGCTTATTCTAGAATTTCGCCTAACATCAATTCCGAAAGGAGTTTTTGTTTTGACAGGGCTTGAAGAACTTCATCTTAGTAGAAATCTAATAAAAAAAATTGATGTTGACATTTTAGCTTTGAAGAATTTAAAAGTCCTCAGGCTTGATGTTAACAAACTTCAAACAATTGCACCAAACTCATTGACAAAATTGGAGAATTTCGAATCTCTTGATATCGATGGTAATCATAAATTGGAAGTGGACGCTTTCCACCAGTCCCTTTCATGTGCGAATTTGCGCAACCTGGGATATCCTTATCAACTTAAAGAAAGAATAGAAGATGAACTAAGTGAAACTGAAAAGGAAAAGCTAAACTATTTTACCTTCCAGAAAAATTCTAAAAAGATTTTTCAGAGAGGGAAATAATATATCATAAAAACTTTTCTCGTGATCCAGGTATTAGTGGAAGGAAAGCAACAAGATAATAAATTTATGAAATGAGTTAAGTTTTAATTTCTTCTACTCTTAAAAGAAACTGGGAAATAATTCTCATAAAAATCAATGTTTGTGGCTCATTTTGTGGTCAAATTCCAATAAAAACCAAGGCTACTTCAGCATCCCAATAGGTAATCCTGTTGACTTGACTGATCACGATCAATCGTACAATGTTGATTTCCTTCCATACAATACACCCTTTATGGCGTTTATGGCAAAGTGCAAACATTACAAGATATCATAATAACATCTAATCCCATTAAACAAATTTCAAATCTTTATACCATCTAAAATGTTTTTCCACTACTTTCAGTAATAATATTTCTCGTCATTAATATTAATTACATGAAGGACATGAAAAACACAATGAGGAGTAAATTAGCCCAGCATATTTCCATCCATCACGATTACTTCTTGTGCTCTAAATAAATATTCACACGCTTTTTTCGGATTATTTTAACCCTCGCTTCAACTATAGCTGGCAAGTTTATCGGTACTTTGGTTGCAACCTTCATTGCAGAATATACTTTACTACGTGGTATTCATAATATCGTAGTTCGTAATCATTCTGATTAAACATAATCGTAAACTTTGAAAAACTTTGGTGAATTGTTGCCAAAATATCGACAACCTTAGAGGCCGATAACATGAGCCCCGGTAGCCGGGATTCAGTCAAGCGATAAATGATTTTGGCAAATGGAAACGATTCAATGCTCATCATCAGATAAATCTTCTCTAGTAATTTCACAACATTCTTGTTTGATAATAACACAAACATTTAAAATTCTAACAACCAATTTGGCCTAATTTGAGAATCACAACAGAAATGACTTGTGGTACTTAATAAACAGTTGTAATTTTTACGCTTGAAGTCTTGACTCCTTTCAATACCTCGAAATCATATCACGAAACTCGGTTTGCCGGGATCATGTAAACAGCCCTTAATAATATAGTAATTTAGCACTACTGAAAAGCTAATGTGGATATTTGTTATGCGCGACTAGTGGGCTAACTGTAGAATTGCCAATTAACGACACCGAAGAAAAAACACAGGCGAATTTAAAGCTCCGTATACCCTACGGGTACCCGGAGTAAGTAAAGAAGAATTTTGTAAGATGAGGGGATGCATCAAAGCTCAAAGTTGTTTGAAATAAAAGAAGAAACATTTTGTAACCTTGCCACTAGTAGTTGTCACCAGTGGCGTAGATAGAGGTCGTGCTCAGCACGACCAAACATTTTTCGAACTAAGGTTTTTTCAACCAATTGTTTCTCATGTTAACAGATATTAGCGAAAACAAAATCCATTTCTAATGCTTCAATTGCATTTTGAAATATGTATTTCGCATTACTTAAACTATATTATGTTTCTGCCTGACATCTGCCCTAATCATTGCCTAAAAGCACATGGATTGGCATTCGCCCGGTTTTGGTTGTGCTCTACTCAGGCCGGCACGACCAAATTATATATATTCCTAAGCGCTGATTGGCTAGAAAACCTCACGGTCTATTAAAAAGGGTATTGTCAGCCTTAGTTGGGTCGTGCTCTGATCAGACGAGAATGACCAAACATAAATTACTAATAATATATAAGGCTGCATTGACTTGTACGTGTGCTCATTCGCCGAATAATTTCCTTTGGTCGTGCCCAACTTTATTCGCACGAGTATTTCAAATATTGTCAAATTATTCATCGTTTTACTGTGTTATTGGATTGTGTCTGAACATGGAAATCAATCAAGGACAGTCAAACGTCGCGTCTGAAGCTGAAAGAGTCAGAGATATCGATTCTGAGCTTTTACGAAGGGTTGTCTGTTCACGCGACGCTATAAATTAGAAATATTTTGTTTGTATGCCCACGACCAATCCCTACGCTTACACTGAAAACGAGAGATAAGGGGCTCCAACAATCTTGATGCGAAAGGAAAGATTGGTTGTGCGCTATTGTGGAGAAACAGCGGTTACTTTGTTGCCTTTACTGTTTCGTTCAAAGTCCACTGCATTGGCTCAAATTGATTATTTCAACATGCATAATTTACTGGGTGATTGCCAAAAGGATGAAATATGAAAGTCGCATATTGAAGCGTCCATAACTGGCGACACCGACAACTTATGTTGCCACCAACTGTACTAGAACTTCATGTTTGTTCTCGCTATAGCACGACCAATTGTTTTTGTTTAGGTACGCCACTGGTTGTCACCATCATAAAGAACAGCAATTTCGCACTCCAGTCGAAAACGATCATTTAAACGTTTCTCTTATTTATTTTGATTACATGATCTGCAAAATTAGTTGCGTCCAAGGAACAGGCTATTACGATTTTTATGTATAGTCTTTTTTCATGTTGACTAAGTATCGCACACAAAAAGTTATAAGGAAGCTGCGTGCTGCGTAACGACCAGAAATATACGAGGATATTTTATCAATGCTATTGTGGGCAACAGTGGACGTCAGCATCTAGAACATTTTACATTGTTTAAATATTTATTGCATAGAGGTTGGTTGCAATCCAAAAAGCAATCAGATTGTTTTCAAAGTGGTAAACAATAAATGTGGTTTTGTATGAGTCGACAATAAATATATTCATTTTTTTATTTAGCGGTCCAACGCGTATTTTTTGATTTCCAGCCATTTGATTGGCTGCCTGACCGTGCAGCTTTTACGATATTTACCTAGCGGTCCAAAAGTGATACTTTTTTCACATTGAATTTGTTTACGAAGTGAAATGCAAATATTTAAAACTGATTATGTAAATTATTTAATGAGTAAGCAAAGTGTATTCAGACGAAAGTTGTCATAGCAAGAGTGCATTTTATTATTCAGACGAAGCAATGTTTGCAGCTGGTAAATAACATATATGTATTTCAGTATGTGTTTTTGATATCATGTTCAGCATTAGTTAACAAAAAGAAATTAGTAATATTAAAACAAATAAATTAAGCAATGCTAGGGAATATTTAAAACAAAAACATTCTTTTATTTGTCGTCAAAGCTAGACAAATAACGAAAGAAGAAATGAGAATGAATTACATAGTACAACAATAAAAACTAAATTAAAAATGCTCAATTTCTCTGTTTGCCTTTCACATTCAAAGTCGGATATTACTGTTTGAGTATTTTCCAATAAGCATGGTTATAGTAATTTGCATCAGCGCCAACACATTTCGGTGCTTCAAGCCAACCGCCTTCGTCTCCTGTTGTTAATAAATATTACTAATTAGACTTTTATCTGGTAATTCGCTCAAAGAACTACCATTGTGATTAACTTATACAAGAATTTAAGCCCAATTGAAAATCACAGGGTTGAATTCGTTTTGTATCGTTATGGGAAAAACAAATATTACTTCACCTCGGTTTCCTTTAATTTCAGAGCCATCCTGGAACAAATAACGCTGTGTTTCCACATTGACGATGAAATACCTATCCTCTCCTTGCGGTTCAAGTTTCCAGTAAGCTCGATTGTAGTAGTTCGCGTCAGCACCGACACAACTGGGAGCTTCAAACCCAGAGTTACACAGCCAACCACCTTCTGCACCTCGATCGCCCTTAATTTTGTCACCAGTTTGAAACAGATAGCGCTCGGTTTCTAAGTTTTCAATGAAATACTTTCCATCACCTTGAGGAACAAACTTCCAGTAGGCTCTATTGTAGTAGTTTGCATCGGCACCGACACAATTTGGACTTGACAACCAGCCACCTTCGTCTCCTCGGTTGCATTTAATTTTATCTCCCGTTGAGAACAGATATCGCTTTGTAGAAACATTTTCAATGAAATATTTTCCCTCTTCAAAACAGGCCATTTCGATGGTAGTCAACTCCCCCTATGCGTTTTGTTGCTAAAGTTTGATGTAAAATAGCAAAACTAATAATTTTGCTGTTTTTTATAATGAACGAGTTATGCGTACGTGACGTTATTGCCTCAAAATGAGTGCTGGGCGGCTTGAGAACTTGTTGACGTCAATTTAACATAATAGAGTGATTTAGCAAACACGACATTTCGTCTAAGACGCCGTGAAAATGGCGTGGCGTGCGTCTTTGACTTCCGGTTCAATCTACGACGGTAGTCGTGTTGACGACGACGACGTGATTTGAGCAAACATGATTTGACGTCGTATCGACGACGGTTGAAACAAACATAATTTATGGACAAAAAAAAAACCTTGATATTTGCATGTTAATAGATTATCGGCTAATGTAAAATGCGACGTTTGAAACGAGCTTAAGAGCAAAACACTAGTACTCTTCATTACTTTCTTGTTGACACAATCGTAAAACCCATTCAAATTAGAAAGATTATCTTCGGCAATAAATTGAAAGCCCTAGTCGGCAAATTTTTCTATCTCTAATTGAATACATTACATGTACAAATAGAATTTTCAATGATGTCACAATAGATTGCAGTAAAGTTTTTGACACTTGTTGTTCTGTTCACACTAATCCGGATTAATGCTAGCTTCAGTTTATTTGAGTTACATTTATTTGAAGTCTGTTCATTTTTTCTGACAATATTTATCACCGTCAGTCACGACTGTTTTGGAATATTTTAATGCGTCATTTTAAGCAGGGAAAAAAGTTTCGCCGTAATTAAACTCTTACGTTTAGGCGTTCACACGTAACGGAAACGATTATTTTTGTACCGCTTTCTTATTTTGTAATATGTGTTTGTGTGATGTCAATAATAATATTGGGGATGTAAAACATATCAGTATAAAATAGTGTATGGGAAAGTAAAATAACAAAAACAATGGAAGTATCTTTCTCCTGTCTCTTAACTCTATTTCTTGGTAACAATTTTACACGTACCAGGTTTCATCATGATGTAAATCAACAAAATACGTGCACCTAAGAAATTCATTGTATTAATTGCACAAAATTTGTCAAATATTATGCACTTCGGCTTTGCCACTAAGTCAATTGATGACAACAGGGGAGAGGGAAATTGTAATTTATTAAAATCAATTCTGTACATGAATTGTACGACCTTGTCTTACCAGTAAAAAACTATATAGGGATCCAAGGACAGTGCAAAGTTTCAAAAGGCAAACGTTGTTCGAAATACATTCCAAATTAAGCAGTCTAGTAAAATAATCTAAAAATTGTTTTAACAGACTAAACACCATGTCGATAAAGAAAACTCTTTGTAACAGTGCAATTGTATTTGAGACAAGGTTGATTTGATTTCGCATGCGCACAGATCCATGAGTATCGACATTTCAGTTATACATTCGTTCATCATATCCTTCTATTATTGCGAAAAAGTAAACGATATTTATCAAATTTCTTATACTATAAATAGGCCAAATTAATCCATAATCCGAAGGCTAACCATTAAGCTCGAAGTTGAAGGATAGCAGTTTGCCGTATTTTACGATACATGTTTCGATATAAAGTCATCTTCAGCATGAACATGTTTATGGTAAAAAAAATTCTGTTTTTAAATGCTTGACAGCTTATTGGTTAATTTTTGAATTAGAAATCAATTTCGTGTTTGTAGATCACGAAATTTTTGTCTAAAAAAACAACTAGTACCAATAACTCGCCGAATCACACACGTTTACATCTCTAGCTCAATTTCCATATCGTGCTTATTAGATAAGTATATTTGTAGTGTTTGAGCGCAAATTATGCTTGCTTTACGTGTTTTGACGACAGGTCACGACAAGTCATATGGATATGATGTTTAATTTGTGTATTTTAAAAGCTATTGGAAGCTTTTTCGAGCCGAGTGAAAATTCATTATGCATTTATACTGATATAAACATTGTATAATTTACTTCTAGCACAAATGTGAACTAAATGGCTACGTGTTCAGCAGAGAAAAATGCTTTGTTCGCAATATATTGGCACACATGTGAAGCTCAATGGCTAAGTGGTTTAAAACAACAAAATGCTTTGTTCGCAATGTTTTTAGCACGAAATTACATCAAATTAATAATAATTAAGCAAGGCTACTTGTGGATAATGTAAAATGGTATATTGTTCAATTTATGAATACGTTCCAAAATTTAATATGTTACAAAACTTTCTTTTAACGTTAGTGATATACAACAGAATAAATTTCCCAAGCCATTCAACGAATGGGACCAACTTTCTACAAACCGCTCCGAAAAATTCAATTGTCTGCTATTTTTGTTTATGATTATATTTGTTGTTGAAGTCATCCATTTCAGAGCCTTCCATGCCAAAGTAAGACAGAAAGTAAGAAAAATTGTTTGCACTATCCAATTATTTATCACCAGATTTAGCCAAGACATCTTTGTTGCTTGGAAATTTTTTTACAGTGAGTAATCACTAATTATTTGCATAGCATAAAAATAGTTTGTCACACCAGGGTGCATTAGTCTCGAAACAGGTCAAGTTAAAGTATGTTGTGACGTACATAACGTACGTATCAGGGGCGGATCTAGAGTATGTCAAATCCGTCGCGCGACTGATGTTTGAAATTCAAAAATTACCTATTCATATTAATTAAAAAATCATTAATTATTCTTATTTTCTTATCGCATTTACTTCGTGATAAAAATCCCGCATTATTTATTATTGAAAAGTAATAACTAATCAATGAATATCTCGTTGGTAACCAGATCAGTTGAATTTTAATTGACCTGGAATAACCGACTGATAAGCGGGGTGGCTTGACTGGTTCGACGGATAAAGGAGTCTATGAACGTCAAAACGCTTATTTTATTGGTCAATAGCCAGATCAGTGGAGAGTCTGGAATGGTCTCGACTGATAATAAGGGTGGCCGGACGTATAAGGAGTCCAATTGCTATCTTACAATTGGTTCATTTGAATTTTGCTTTATTGTGATTGGTTTGACGGATTTCGACTGATAGCCAACTGAACTAACATAGTCAAGCTCACTGTCTGAATTGAATGTTTGATCGTTTTATAGTAATTTTTATAAGCATGATAGAAACTAAACTGCAATCAGATGGAATTTATGGAAATCTTTTACAAATTCATATATTGACATGAATGCTGCTGTCCAAAATGTGAATTTTTTCAAGAGGGTGGAAATTTATGGATTTATGGATTAATTTTAAATGCTTGGCAAAGACGATCTCGCAAGCGACATTTCAGTCATTGATGTTCAAAAGAAAGCCAACATTGTCTTGAGTTTTATCAGCAGAAATTTACATCCAAAATCGTAAGTAAAGGACAAGTGAAGTGTATGCATGAATGTAATATATCAAAGTCAATTATGCGAGTGTGTGATGCGATTTATGTCAATATGGCGTATGGTAAGCAGATTGATGCTTCTGAAATTGTTGTTGACGAAGGACTTTTAGCTATGATTTCTTTAGTGCTTGGGGAATCGTGGCCGTTATACGGCAGCGAAATCCTACATTCCTGCAAATATATTTCAATGGATAAAAAATCTGTAGCCATAAGGCGCCATACTATTATTTACTTTATCATAAACAAATGTTTGGGGTTTTTCAGTTTATGATCATTGATCATTCAATCATTGGACAGTTATACTACATATTGTTTAAGATTTGAGAAAACTAACATTGATTACATGAGAAGCTGTTTACTATAACCTGTGATTTTGAGTCTTCTGATCCATGAAGCTTTTATTTTGACAATTTGACTGGAATGGTATTAAACCTGAGTATTTCACATACATGGAATGTTGTCCCATGTCACATATTGTCCCCTTTTCTAACTGAACACCTCATGTAGAGATGTAAAGGTGTGTTAATCTACGGCTCATACCAGATTGTTTGCCATAAATTCCAAAGGGCTATTGATGTATGAAAAGCATTTTCTATAAAGTAAAAATGTCTTTCTATGTATGCAGATAAACCTTGAAATTTGGCAAAACAGCAAAGTATTTTTCAAGATCACTAGGTAATTTTTCTGATGATCAATATAATTTATAAACTAAATTATTTCTGATTTACATTTAAACAAGCTTTGATCATATGAAAAGATATTTATCATAACCAGTAAGCATGACACATGAACCAATTTTTACATTCATGTAATTATATAATTAAAGACATGTTGGATATATTCTGTTTGTATTTGCAAATACAATGCTACTAGTGCTATATAGCACACCTTGCATATACTTACAGGAGATAATAGTCTAGTGAAATGCCTAATAAACATTTATGGCATTAAGCTGTCCTTAACTGCAAATTTTCACTCTGATAATTTTTGCTTAACCTTCGGCAGAAAAAAATTTTGAGTTTTTTCTCAAAAGGTGAATTTGCTGGCACTGATGTGGAGATGGGTAAAGGGTTACAATAAACTTGCATGGTTTGAAGTCTGAGCTTTTCTATACCTATGAACTGTCACTTGTAGTACCAAATTTCTAACTTAACTAAACTCGTTACATAGAGGTTTGAATGAGGGTCTCTATGGGGGTCTATGCCTGACAACTTGGTAGAAATTTTTAAAGACTATATCTGTTTTTGAATAGCATTATTGTAAAATAAATTTTACGTTCCTAGACATGCTAATGAGCCATATATTTGGCATGATAATGAGCCTAAATATTTGGCAAAACATTCAAGTATTGTTCACTTCATTTTTTTTTTTTTTTTGAAAAAAACGTAAGCAAAATGTGTTGTTTTTACGCAAAAATGATGCCCACAAATACATTTTGTATTGCTCTAAAACGCTGAAAATGGCATTTTCAAGGCTCTGAAATTCAAAATTTCTCAGGGGAGAATGCCTCAGACCCCCCAGGTGCGGAGCGCCTTCGACGTTTTATGACTGATGTTTGAAAAATCCTAGATCCGCCCCTGGTACGTATATTATTTTCTATAATTTTGCATTTTAAAGGAAATAGCCAATCTTACTTTTACTTACACTTTAGTGCCTATGAAATAAAAAAATCGTAGTTTGGTTTTTTGCATCATCGAAAAATATCATCTTTTTGATCAATATGACACCAAGCATGTCGAGAATTTCCAGGTAAAAGTTGGTGAATTTTATGTTCAAAGTTGGGCAATATTTGGTGCTCAAAACTGCGCGCGGTCAAGAAGTCTTGATGACAAATGCAGTGTGACACAGTGCACCATTTGTATACGTAAATATATTATGGACATTGTGGCTTCAAACTTGGTTTTCCAGGATATTTATATCAAAAATAAAAGAATTTCCATGTTATGAAGTCTAGATTCACATAGTTTGAATTAATTCAATTCCCTACTGAACGAAGTTTAATTTACATGTTTGTAAATGTAGATCAAGTTTAATTTGTCGATGAAGTTTCATTTGTCGCATCAAGAAGTCGTCGAACTAGAAAACATGTTGGAGTAAGAATGAAGGTTTTTGTTTTTCAATAGTCAATACTAAATACTATCGTTGCACTTTTACATCGATCTTTACAATTCATTAAACTACCTCCAGCGCAATAAGACTTTATTTAATAAGACTTTATCTAATTCATTTAATCTAAAATTTACTCTCTATAAGCTCTGTACTCATATACAATAAACAGATGTAATAATTATATAAAATATTGTATAATAAATATTTTTATATTTGTATACCGACACGTCTAGCACTTTGACAAAGTAGACATAATACAATATCATCCAACATGGCATGTCAAATATAACTGCACGAATATATCTAAAAACAAACATTAGAATTGAAGTTTCAATCTTGATAGCACAATTTGTACTTTATATCAAAATATACGCAAATGGCTTTGCAATAGACTTTTTTGCAAAGCCATCATCAGAGATTATACATAGTATAAATCCTAACACGGTTTTTATATGCACATGGAAAACATGTTCTGGCGAGAACGGAAGTCGTCACAGATCATAAAGTCAATATTATATGCTAAAGTTTTGTCAATTCAGAATGCAGTAAAAAGCACAATTCCAAACTATTTGTACTATTTGTGGTTTATATTGTTCGTCGAAGCATTGTGGCTATTGGTTCTTGACGATTTCTGGTTGAAGCTTCCTTTAACTTCACCGGTAATTGAAACATTTTTTAATTTAGTGATGACGTGTTACGATTAACCATGTTCAAATTTTGTCGTTACACGTGAGCTGTTCCAGCAAAAATCCAATCAAAACCAAAGCTACGTCAGCCTCGCCATAGAAGATACTTCCGACCTGAACGATCTATACAGCAATTTTGATTTCCTTCCAGACACTACCTCCACAAGTGCAATGATGGGTTTGTACGAAAAAGTGCTAAAACTAAAAGAAAACATGTCAACATCTCATCCCATTAAAAATAATTCAAATCTCTACATTATCAAAAGTTTGTTACAACTTATTTCAGCAATGATATTTTTGGTTATTAATTTTTATTTCTTGATTAAAGACTTAACAGCGGAAACAAAGAGGTGTACACTTACCCAACACATTCCCATCCAACACGATTATTTCTTATGCTCACATGGTTTAGCTCCAGCTCTTTTTTGTATTGTTTGCATTTATAACTTTGATTTATTTCTGAACTTAGTAATATTTCTTTTAATATTTGTTTGGAATATCCGTTTGCGTAAAAAAACATGAATATGATTTTGACGAAAAAATTTCGAAGGAAATTGTTAATCAATTATCTCATATAGATCCAGTAAAAGGAGATCTATGTTTTCTCCTACCTCTATTGCATTCGTACAACAAAATGTTCGTCATAAGGTTTGTACATTTCCTTTCCAAAAAGAACAAGAAGAAACTTGCGGCACATGCATTGAAAATGAAATTTCCTGTTGCATATTTAAACACCAGATTAAAAGAAGAAACAGAATTATCTTTTACTAAACTTGGAGGAATTCCTCCAACGATTTTCTATCAGAGTATTTGCGATAAAACTTTGAAACTCAAATTTACTGAGTGTCATCTTGAAAACGATGATTTTAAGGACTTTAACAAGCTTACCAAACTTACGTCTTTATCCATTGTAACGTGTGGTCTAAAATGTATTCCGAGATGGCTGCTTGATTTGAAAAAGCTTAAAGAACTTCGTCTTGATGGAAACTGCATAAAGAAGATTACTGCGGACATTGCAGATTTGGAAAATCTATGCATCTTATCTTTTAAAGAAAACCAACTTAAGAAAATCGATCCTGGCTCATTAAGCAAAATAAAAATTTTCCGCTCGCTTGAAACTTACGGCAATCCTGATTTGGAACATCAAGCTCTACGTGATGAAGTTGGCAAACTTGGGTTGTCATACTCAATTGATGGAAAGTATTACAGGTAAGCTGAAAACGGCTGAAAAAAACAAAATACGCACTATGCAAGGCTGCAAAGAAAATTATTTCTTACAATTTTAAATGTTGTACACTTTAAGGGTGAGAAATAAGAAATGAAGAAAAGGAAAGAAGAAAAGAATGCGTAAATGTGTATTGGGGAAGAAATGAAATTGATTACCTGTTTACAATATTTTATTCAATTCGGGTGATGCTCTTCGAAATTTCCCTTCGCTTTTAAAGAAAATTCATGAAACATTTTTGAAAACCAATTATTCTTTAAACTCGCTCTTCTTTTGCATAACATGTTCATTATACTTAATGTAATTAACTGTAAATAAAAAATAAAGTTGAATTGAACGTTGAATCCCAAACTGATATATTACAGACTTTAGCTACTTTGTTTAATGAACGTAACATGGCAATTTTGTAAAAATTGTTGCAGTATTTGCAATGCTGACGAAGCATGTTTAAAGTGCTTGATACGAAAATTTTGCTATATGAGTTTTACTTTTATTGAGTAGATATTGCAAAATGAAAATGGTCTTTCTGTATCAGTTAATGCATATCACTTTTCATCCTCGAGGTATTAAGGTTTTTGTTTGTCCGATTTATTTAACTTGTGACGTCACATATTGCATAATAAACAAGAAATATTAGTTATGTTTGGTGATATTTCACTTCAACATTACAGAGCGACCTTCATCATGAAGTTTTAATCGTGTAAAATGCTCACTACTAGTATCAACATAAAGTTGTCAGGAAACTTAACAGTGTTTGAAACATTGCGAAAACTCATTATGTAATGTGACGTCACAAGTAAGGTAAGTTCGAATTAATAAAACTTTAATATCTCGAGATTTTAAAAAGACATGCATAAATTCTTTTAGATAGTGCGCTGTCAATTAAAAAGTTCTGCTCAATGCAAACATAATTTAACTTGTAAAAATTTCGTTTCATAGACACTTTGTGAATGCCAATAGAAAACAGAAATTGCTAAATTACAATCGTGTTTGCATGTAATTATTACACCTTTAAATGAAATTTCACGTAGAAGTAAAGAAACGTGTTGGAACTTTTTTGTAATGTACCTATGAAAATAAAATAGCAATGATGATTTGGGACATTTACGAGCCTCAAAACTAGAGTAGGACAGTCAGCTAAACTTTTTGTGCTCGATTGCTTGGATTTTTTTTTTCTTACATGGAAGTGATATCGTTTTGTAAAATCAACTATTCCAATGAAGCATTTTCGTTTTTACTTAAACAGGCCATTTCGGTGAAAGTTATTCTTCCTATATGTACTTTAGAAATGTCTGATGTGCAAATGTATTGCGAACGATTTTTCTAATCTTTTTCATTAAGTATGCATGGACGATATCATTATGCCAATATATGCAATGCTAGAGATATTTCACCTACATTACTCTGGTACAGTGAAGCAATTCAAAACTGCAATACTGACTGTTGGCATAAAAACACATTCATTTGTCATAATACAAAGTAATGTTTTAAGTTTTTCTAAAGATTTATTTTGTTTCGGATACAGTAAATGAGCTTAACAAACTTAACAACCTTCTCATTCATCATCTTTTTCATAACTTAAATATAAAATATCGCATGGTCATGCAAAGATTTTCGAGACATTTATGTTTTCCACATTGATTAAAAGTTCAGATATAAATCAGATGACAGTCACTGCAGCAACAACGTCTGTTTTGCCATCCCATTGATTATTGCACCGGTTCTCCATGTTCAGCACTAAGGCGTTTAATCGTTGTTAAATAAAGTGTAACGTGATTGTCTCGAGTGGTGTGGTATTGGGCATTGCATAGCTTTTCGTCAAGACAAATCCTGAAATTAAGAAAGATTCTATTTTTCTAGAGTTCCTGAACAAATATCGTGTGGCACAGCTCGTCAACTGATACGAGATTTTTTATCCGTGAAGTTCAAATTTCGTGATATGTATACAAAGCATTGTCGTATATGATGGTATAAATCAGTTACAGCAGCAACAAAGTTTATTTGACCATTCCATTGATGACTGTATATATTGTCCATGTTCAACACCAAAACGTTGGTAAATGTATGTAACATGATTATATCGTGTGCAGTGGTATTAGAGGTTGCACGGTTTTTCGTGCATGGAGGCAAAATCCTGAGATTAAGAAACATTCTACGTTTCTCAATTTTTTCTGAACAAATATCGTGCGGCGCAGTTTGCAACACAATACGCAGCTATCGATTGTCTTATACAACAATTTCCATTAAAGTGCTTGTTTTTTCGTCAGTGTTGAGTACCCGAATCAATAATGACCAGAGACAATGTATTTAATGTGTCGTTTTCTCAGCTGCTTTGCAAATTGTTGAAGCCTATCTGGGATGTTATAAGCGATTATTTAGTAATACATTTCGTATAACGTTCTTTTTGATTGGATGGAAATAACAACTGTATGTTAGTTATGAATGGGTAGCAGATGTTAACTGTCGCAGCAAATCAAAACCAAACTCAAATACATCTTCATCAAAGGTAAATTTAAAATTTGACACATGTAAAGTGTCAAAAAATCTACCAGTACCAAACACTGGCATGTATACTAATTACCTCGACGTACAATCTCATCCAAATTAATTTTTTTATTAAGCGCAACATGTTGTCAAAAATATGAATGCCGCCATACCTTATATGGCAAATTTTGGACAAAAATGTCAGCGGAGTTACATAGGCTCATGTTTAGGAAACATTTTCTCCCCTCCTGATTTCAGTCAACACTCTATTTTTTTCTAGTATTCATGCGACGATTACAAATTTCGTAAGTATTTAATATTTTAAACGCAAAATCTATTTGAAATTTCAACAATAAAACAAGCTGAAATTTTTTGTGAGAAACGGTTGCTGAAGAAGTGCAAGAAAAGAAAACATTTCAATGGTTTCATGAAACCGCCCGTAAGCAAGATAATTGCTTTCATCGCTGGTCATCAATCTTCAGTCTTCAATATATATTATTTTGTTTTATTTATTTTATTTCATTTATTTGGTGAAACTTTTTTTACCACAACGTCATGCTTTAGTTGATGTTTTTTGGCCCAATCCCTTCTATTTATTACGTAAATACATGTAAGACGCTGTAAAACTCTTCCAGATGTACATATCTTGCATCAAAAAAATCAACAAAACCCTCCCATTATAAATTGAGTTTGGGCTGTTTTAGTCCCAAGAAACTGATTAGGGTTTGCTCATATTATATTTCAGAAAATATGAAGTTAAGAAGTGAGTTGCGTTGAAATTGAACTTGCCTACAATATTTAGCAACACTGTGGTATATATAGTACCACAAAAATGTCATGAACTCAACTCCTAACTTGTTTTGCACAAATTAGCAGATTACAAACAATAAAGATATTAAATATGAGTAAAGGTTTGCTCGATGCTGCTAGTTTGTCGATAACCCTTGGTGTTTCTCTAAATAAAGTATGCATTGTAATAGTAAGCAATGTTCATAAATCAAAACCAAAGTAAAAAATTGCTTTGGATAGTACTGAGTAAACAATTCCTTTTACCTTAAATCTTATTACTTTGTGCAGGAAAAGTTTAATATAGCAATGGCTCATCTGAAAAACATTCACCCTTGGTATGATTCTAGGTGATCCAAGATTCATATTGGATGCATTGGCTACAATGAAGTTGAAGTCAAAAGAAGGAAGAAGGGATGGAAAAACTTGCATGTATCTGATAAAGATTTCAAAAGAAATCATAAACAATATAAATTGCAAAGTGTGAAGGTGAACCTGTACAAACAAATAACCCTGGCAAAGTCTCTTTGTTGATTTTTAGTCTCTTGGATAATTTTTCAAGTGGAAGTTCTTCGTCCAAAATTTCCTTTTGGCATCCATGTTTTGCACAACAGTTCCCAGACCCCTTGTATATCCAGTTAGTTTAATAGAAATCAATGGTCCCAAACTGCAAGTTTTGTCAAACTTAGGTTACAGGTCGCTACGGAATATTTATCATTATTATATGGCAAGCGTCACTTACGGAAAATTTGCGTGCTTTGAATGGTTCAAAAACATTTGTTCTGTTCCATTATTTTCCGTGATGGACTACGGTCTAAAATGCGTAATTTTACAAAACAAATAAATGTAAACAAACTTCGTAAAGCAAACAGCAAACGTTTTGTAAAACAAAAAACGACGAAATGATCTTGTACTAATGTTAGTATAACATTAAGTACAAGATCTTGGAAAGTGAGTTTTAAAATCGAAACAACACAATTTCAAACAACTTATTTTTACTGATGATACTTCAGGAGTGAATGCAAAACAGCAAGGACAAGAGAAGATAGAAAGCTTTAATTCAGGTCAAACAATGCCATATAATGAACCTTTTAATAGCCTCGCTTTCTCGGTTTTTACTTTGAAATATCGGACCTCTGTCTTTACGTACAAATCTCGCCCTACGGGCTCGGTCTGTACAAAAATACCTCGGTCCGTTATTTCTCAGTAAAGATCTCGAGCTCAGTTATTAAGAGCTTATTATTAAGTCACAAAGCAAACGTTTTGTCAGTTCAGAATGCACCAAAAGTGCAATTCCAAACTATCTTGCTTCTTTGTCGTTATTCTTGTTCGTTTAATCATTATGGCTTTTAATTCTTGACAGTATATAATTCAAAATTTTTCTAACTTCGTCCTTTCTTGAAACATTTGTTAATCTCGTGATTGCGTGTTACAATCTAGCATCTTTTAGTTCTGCTGTTGCTCTATAGCTCACACTTATCCAGCAAATACCCTACAAAAACCAGGATGCATGTCAGAAGCCCAATCAATAACACTTCTAAGAAGACCCATCAAGATGAGTAGTTGAGCATTAGTACATTTAAGCTATAGACATTTCAGTAGATCTTGGGAGTGGGGATACGACATCAAACTTCAACAAAAAACACGCCAATACGCTCGTCAGTTACAGCATTTATCTTTTGGCAAAAATTAACAATGGAAATTAAGAGCATAATTTTTTATCTTTTGACCACCAAGCATATGATTATAACAAACTACATTGGGACGGCATTCCAGAGACCTTACTAGCTAATTAAGAAATAAAAGATGTTTACTGTGTTTGCACTGGCCTATGCAAACTGAGGAGACCTTTTGGAGAATTCGAGAGCAGATTAGTACAAGCATGAGACCGAAGGTCGAGGTTTGAACCGGCTTGAGAGTTCTCACAAACGTCTCCGAGGTTTGCATAGGCCAGTTCAAACACGAAAAACATCTTTTATTTCTTTTATAAAATAACAATGCGAAACGAAAAACGTTTTGTATTCTTCTAATGTGTAATTTTGATCATCTTCTGATGATCAAAATAGCCTGG